AAAGTAATTGCTCACAAAGCCTACTACCGAATAGTTTCCTGTGGCCTCCTCAGTGGAACCATGATGAAATTTTATCAAGCTCACATGGGGTCTGGGACCAACCTCTGGTTTCTCTAGAGTGTCCCCAAGAGAACTGGGAAATCAAAATAAACCCATGAGTTGCAATAACCAAATCTTAAAATCCTAACTGCATGTGAATAAGAGACCCAGTTGATACAGCTATATTCTAATTTACAAGCTCTTCCAACTACCTCCACTCTTGAATAGAGAGGGTATAAGAAGCAAAGGCTTAGCCTTCACCCTTAGAGGTAGAGCTCAAAGCTTGATTCCTCAATAATCTGAGGTCTAGCTGTTGGGTCTGAGGATTTCTGGTGGGCTTATGTATGCACCAAGAGCAAAATTTCTCACCCTGGAGTGGAGTGTCAGTCTCTAGGCAGGCAAGGTAGATTTCAGGGCATGTAAAATGACAGAAAGCTGGAACTCCATTAAATTTACAGAACTGCACAGTTTTGGACCTACTTGCTAATCAATGTATGGCTAATAAATGTCTATATATTTTTAGCAGAATTTGGTTTGAGAATAGTTCTCATTTTGACTTAGTAGCAAGGTTGAGAAGGAGTTAACTCTCATCTGCCTCAATTTCTCAATGGCTACTGTTATTTTCCAGAAAGAACTGAGGCATTGTGTATAACCAAACTGACTTAGATCAATGGCAACACATAGGCTCTACTTTCAAGGAGCTCACTGAGGAGTTTCTGCAGGCTTAACTGCTCCTCACCAGAGGGTACCGGAGTTCCAAGAGGCTGACCAATCAATAGCCAGGGCCCCATTAAGCCAAGGAAGTTAGTAAAAGAAACACACACACACACACACACACACACACACACACACACGCACGTGGACAAAAGGTTTGCAGATGTTCGTATGGAAAAAGAAATGCAGGTAATGATTATTATAATAGCTTCATTAACTCAAAAGAATGTCACAATGCAACTATAAACCTACTTTTGTTCACTCCTGTATGTTAGTCTACAGCTTCCTTTAGTCAATAACCAAATGAAGATCAGTTACTCAGCTTTTCGTTTCTGGGTCAGGAACATACATCTTGGAGAAATCCACATACTTTCCATATTCCCTAAGAGATACCTAACTCTTCTTGTAAAAGTTTGTGGAGAGGGCAATCTTACGGGTTGTTGTGGGACCAACATTCAAAGCGAAAGAGAGGATGTCTTGATGTCTTCCCCTATACTTTGCTATTGGCAGGTAAAGAAATAATTCTGAATCGCAAAGGTAAAGGTAGAAGGTCTTTTATCTCAATGTTCAATTCTGGGGTTTTCCCTCCTCATAAAGCTTTTGGTCTTAGGTTGGGGTTTTTTGTTTGTTTGTTTGTTTTCTTCCCCCTCCCCCAACTTTAAAGTTGGATCACTGCAGTCCCGTGATGGAGCTCTCCTGGCAGTTGCCCTTTGGCATAAATTGCTTGTTGGTATCATTGTTAATAAGGAAAATACAAGCCTTTTTATTACACCAAAAATGCAGCCTTAATTATACAAGTGTGAGTAACGGTCCTTTGGTGGACTCGCCCTCTGGCTGAGATTGGCGAGGTATCCTGGTCCTGCCACAAGCTGTAATTTATGGAACTGTAAACTTCACTTCCTCTGTTTCCTCCTCCTTACCCATCCCATCAACCACTTCAGTTTTTAAATATAAAGCTGTCCTTTTTGGTCATGGTTCATGGCTAGTTATAGCAAGACTCTCTTGATACTCAGCCAGACTTTGATGATTTGTTCAAAGGTACCAGTTAAGAATACCATGGTTAAGAATAAATTTCTCCACAAGTTTAGAGAAAATCCTCCTGCTCCCTTTCCCATAAGTACTAAAATAAAGTTAAGAAGTCCCTTTCTTTCCTATCCCCATAATACTATATTTTGCTTCAAATATCCCTTCTTCTTGTTTGAAATCAGTAACCAATATTTATCACACATTTTTCTGAACACATATTCCATGGTAGGTATCACAGAAGATTGAGACATATATGTATATACCCTCAAGGAGCTCACAAGATTAGTAGAGGAGAAAGTATACCACCCAATGACACATGACAAGTGATTATGTATAACACAATGAAGCTTCTTAAACCGTGGGACATGTAGGTTCCTCCCTCCAATGTAGCATAGCACGATAACTGAGATCACTGGCTTCAGGAGCAAACTGTTTGCCTTCCAATCTACCCACATCACTTATTAGCTGTGTATTATTAGGCAAGTTACATATAATATCTCTGAACATCTAACTCCACATCTGTAAAGTGGAGTTACTATTAGCCCCTCTTTCAGAGTGGGTGTGAAGCACTTAGCACAGTGTCTGGCACATAGTAAGCCCTCAGTAAATGTCAGCTGTTGTTCATCACTCATTTTTCCAGGTTTGAATAAAATGTGAAGGCGTTTAAATTCCAGCTACATTCTGCTTTCCAACTTTATTTCTTGTAAATTTTTAAAAATTACATTTAGATTAAAATGAATATGCATGTGGAATATATACAACAGAATTATATCAATTCTTAATTTCAAAAATTATTTTTAATTACAAATATCTCAGCCTTCTGAATGGCATGGGTTAGAACAATCCAGTAGAATAATGCATAAGAACGCAAATTTAAATTGGTAAAGCTGAGAAAGAGGTAATTGTTCTATATAAGAAAAAGCCTAGATGTTTAGTGATGGTAGATTGGGAGCTTATTTTCTCTCCCAAGTCTGTGCTGAAATGATAATAAGTGGATTTTAAAGCTAATGAACAAACACAAACAAAACAGATCACAAGGGCCAACACTGCTGATGAGAGAGTTAAACAAATTTTTGGAAGACATAAATTAAATTGAAGAGCAGTTACTGCAGTCTAAAGTGCCTATAAAAAGGGCACCTGATTAAAACAAGCCAAAGCTCTGAGAGGCTCTAAAGGACTTAGAGGCATTTGGTACAACAGAGGGTAAAGAGAATAGTGAAAAATAGGGGTAAGGGTTCAATGTTTGAAAGTGGGATTATTATGAAGATAGACCACTTACTCTTGGCACTCTGGAGAGAATGAGGCCAAGGGCCCAATTTGGGGGTTACGCCATCTGCCAAGTATGTCAACCCTAATTACATACTTGGGGACCAGAGAAATGATCACCTGGTAGGTCTCTGGACCCTCACTGTAAGCCAGACTTTGGCCAGAGCTTCATTTATTGTCTGATCTCCTCTCATGTGTCCTCTTAGGGGGCCATGACGATGTTTGGAGTCTCTGGATATCAGTGTTGACTGGGACTCTATGTCCAACAAGACCTCACAATCTCTTTCCCCAATATACACTTACTCAAGTAAATGGTTGCAGGTGTCTGGGGAAAGACTAGGGTAAACATTACAGTGTATACTTGCTGTAATGGGGTGTGTGTGTGTGTGTGTGTGTGTGTGTGTGTGTAAAAAGAGCTAGGTAGTAACTTCAGAGAAAAAAGACCAATAGATTATGAAAGAAAATACTACATTGCTTGGCTCCATAAAAATTTATTAACAGTACACATGTAGAACACAAAAAGTTATTATTTCAGCCAAAAAAAAATGATGTACGCATAAATATAATAAAAGGGTGAAGGAGGAGATGTCGGGCCTGGCAGAGAATTGCGTATGAGCTGACACAACAGCTGCCCCTTCCGCAGGCCATTCCAATGCTCGGTCGACACTCAAGTGTCCTGGTCTGTAGTGAGGAGGGCAAGCCACTCCTACACATTCAGAAGGTTCAGAACAACCTGGAGAGTCAAAATCTATCGAAGCATCACCCAGATGTCCTCATCGCATGTGTCAGAAACTCAGGTTTGCCCATCCAGAGCAATGGCCACCTTGGTTGTGTTTCCAACAATCTCTGAAGTTTATCCAGTCAGAACATCAAATTCCATACTTGATCTTCAGCTTCTTCTGTGAGCGCATTGAGATGTGAACTCTGAAAGCTACCAAAGAGAAGTTCTGGCTTTTACACTCAGTTTTCAATTTGTTGACTGCCCTCAACTTTTCGTTATCAATCTGTAGTTACAGTGTAATTTAGGAAAAACCCACCCAATTCCTCTATCATTGTATTTCTCATCCCCGTCCCCCCATACCCACATTCCAATTGCCTGAGTCATCTTATTGACCATTGCGTTTTCCTCTGCTGGCGTATCCTGGCTCACTACCCATGAACGCCTTATCATTTGGCCTGCCGCCTTTTCCCAGGGCTATTGATACACCAGCTGCCACCAAGAACTGGCTCCTCATTACCAGCCAGGAAGTGAGTGAGTGGCCTGGCTCCTACACCCACCTTACTGCCTGCTTTCTTGGACTACTTCTGACACCAATGGTTACAGGTTGGATTCCCTAGAAAACAGAGGGGCACTTGACTGGGGAGTGAAACTTTATGAGAAGGAACACTTGTAAAAAAAAGGGGATGGACACAAGATTAGGCAAGATAAGTGTCAGACCACAATGCAGATGTGACAAAATTCTGCCAACCTGAAGGGAGCCCCGGAGCCACCTCTTTATGTGGCCATAAGCCAGGGTTTCCAGAGGAGAGTATGAGCTCGGCCACCCTGCTCTGCTCAGCCATTTGCTGGACGCTTCCCTGAGAATAGGATACCCTTGACTTGAATGCTGATCTAGATCCTGAAGGAGCTCCCTGCAGTGAGTCTTTTCTTAAACAGGGGTCTGAGCCATGCTCTGTATCTGCCACTACCTGGTTCTTACCCTGAGCTTATATTCTGCTGAGGGAAATACCTGTGAGTATATGATTGCTATTCAATATGGTATGCAAAATGCACAGGGTCAACTCAAAATAGCTGAGTGGAGGAGCGAACGGGTCAGATAGAGTGGGAAGGAAGACTCACCCTAGGGTCTTGATCATTTTATTGTCCCCCTTACTTAGCATGTCAACTTGAAAGATTGAAATAAGGCTCCTTTCTCTTCCACTGTTGTTCTGTGTGTGGTTGACTCTTTTTTGCCATGTCTTCTCACAAGACTTTCAGGATCAAGAGGTTTCTGGCCACAAAACAAAAGCAGAATCAGCCCATTCCCAAATGGATTTGGATGAAAACTGGTAATACAATCAGGTACTACCCAAAGAGGAGACATTGGAGAAGAACCAAGCTGGGTCTATAAGGAATCACACATAAGATGGCTCACATATTTATGCTGTATTCGGGTTGTTCACATCTTACCATATCACTAAAAATATTACTACTAGCTGGACATTTGGATGTACCTTATTGGGAAATTATTGGAAGAATGATTTTTCTCTTTGTTAATTTTCTTCTGCTGTAGCATGTTGGCTCAGTAATAAATACAGAGACCTTTAAAAAAAGAAAGATTGAAATAAAACCATGCTGTGTATAATATGTGTATTCACAGAGGATCAATTTATCTTTTAATCCCTAAATGAAAATAACTAAAACAATGCTTGGCATCTTCCAACCACAAATGGTGAAATATTTAGCCAAAGTGGAAACTAATTTGATTTTTCATGGAGTTATAACAGAAAGCCAAGAAAATGTCTTAGCACAGAATGTTTTATGCTTACTCAATTTTAAGAATTTAATAGATTTTTAAACAATCATCAAAAAGTTTTTATTAGGAGACTATGCTTAGCATAGTGGCCCTTGTAACGGAAAGAAACTTTACTGTGGAATGTATTTGAAATTGGGATAGTCAATAAATCATTCTACAATAGCTTCTAGATTTACCATCATCTAGAAAAATTTGATTTATTCCTACTGACTGCAACTGGTAGAGTCATTATAAATTTATTTGATTTCTTTCCTTTGTTGGAATTTTTAAATTACAGGAGAACATATTTTAGTTCAAGAGAAAGAAATAGCAACATCTCTTCCTTGGAGGAGGACTATCAGTTTTTTGATTTCCTGGATGCTTTAATGGTTATCTTAATTTCAGTTTGGGCAACTTGCTTCTCCTTACACGTGTAGAATTGTTAGGCTTAAGCACTCAAATATATTTACTGAACAGATCACAATTCTCTACAATAATATGTTTTATCATTGAACAATTCCAATACAGCACACCAAGAAGGAGGTAAGTGACCTCCACTATTTGCCCAACATTACTTACTATTACTACTATCAAGATCCCTTTGACTTCAATGATTAAATCAGCTTGAAGGATTTCCCCTAGGGTTTTTACAGAGAAATCATTCTCATCTTGGTTCTCCAGATACGTTGCCCTCCTTATTTATTGAACAGAATATACACATATATTCTATAAAAATATCTTTGGCTATAAATGTATATTCCTTAAAGCTTATGAACAAATCTATCAGGTAGTAATGAGTGAATAATGGATCTCAGGATCTGAAAAAGTCTCAAATATTTGATACTTGCATGAGATCACTGAGAAAAACTACTTACAAATGAACAATTCAGGCCTTTCTGCAGTGACAATATTCTACGTCAACCAGAAGCCAGGGTACTATGGCCAGTTTCCTCTGAGGAACCTGTAAGCCATGATACTCAAAATAACTGCCTCTGCAAGTACTTAGCCAGTGTAATGGAAACCATCTATTATTTTCTTAATCATATATTCAGTTAGGGGATTCCTTGGCCTTGAAGATTCTGCTTGACTTTAATAGTGCAGCCTTTTCAAATGGTGTGCAAGAAAACTACTGAGATTCTACAGATTCACATGTCCATCTGGGTTTGATTTAGTTAGCCTATCAAGTATTATATTTACTTGCGTGCAATTTTTCAGACACATGGTTTTGCTTCTCTGCTTTCCAAGTAAGTTCTGTTTACTTAGGCAGATGTTGCAAATTAGCTCTTAAAATATTGCAAATGAAGTAAAGAAATCCTTTGTAGTAGATGTGAGTCTAATGTGAATTTCATTACTGATTCATAAGACAGACCAATCCCAGAATTCTAAACAAATCCTCAAGAACAAAATTTTTTTTTTAAATTTAAAGACACTTTTCCCCTCTACTTTCTTGTTCCTTGACATGTGGTGTTGCTGGTACACCTTCTGAGCATCCCAGATTATCTGGAAAATGTTGAGCTCAGATACATTCTTGACCTTAGAAAATGTGAATACCCTTAACCTTTTCCCAGTTTCTTCAATTGCTCCATTAAACCAAAACTCTATTGTGAAAGAAGTACTGTTAAAGCATCCACTTACACTTCTAGTTGTAAGAATTTCATTAATTAGACTCATGGGTCAGTTCATTGACTTCACCATGAGGCAACATTAGTTTGTAGCATTTAAACACATCCAGTTAATATCTTTTAAAATGCTGCTGTGAGAATGCACATTATGAATAAAAATATTATTTAATCATTATGCAGAGAATACTGAGGCCTTTCTTTTCTTTTTAATCAGTCCCATCAAAAAGGAATGAACTATGAACCTTTTTTTAAATGGAATAAAATGCCTCTCAGCAAGCTCATTTATTTGCATTTACCACCGTCTACACTTTGCTGATGATTTCTAAACCGATGCCTGCAACACACATTTCTCCAAAGTAGTCCAGTCCCTTATTTTCAACCATTTGCATTGTGACTTCACCTGGATATAACTAGAACTCATAATTACGACTCCAAAAGAAATCACATTATCAATGACAACACATAAAGAAAGGCGGGAAGCTTTCATTTAATATGCAAAACGTGGCTGATCATCAACAGCACTGGCATAATCAGGGAGCTTCTTAGAAATGCAGAATCTCGGGGAGCCTAGAGGAGGGAAAAAGGGGAAAGAAGAGGAAGGGTCAAGTCCCAGAACATGTAGAAAGGACCCATGGACAAGGACAATGAAGGGGAGAGGACTGTAAGTTGGGGGGGTGCGGGTAGGCTGGGCAGGAGAGAGTAATGGGTAGAAAGTGGGGACAACTGTAATTGAAGAACAATAAAAAAATTTTTTTAAAAAGAAATGCAGAATCTCAGACCCCACCCCAGACGTACTGAATCATGATCTACATTCAAACTAGATTCTTAGGTTATTTTTCAACACCTTACAATTTGAGAAGCCCAGAATTAGACTGCATGGATTTGAGGGTCTGAAGATTTTCAGTTTGTTTTCTCGTTCAGTGGCTTATTGACTATGAGAGCATGAGCAAATGACTTAGCCTCTCTGACTCTCAGTTTCCTCATCTGTAACATAAGGATAATAAAGCTTATTTGAAAAGATTGTTGCAAACATACCCCCAAAAGTGTTTGTGTGTGTGCAAGAGAGAAAGAGGGAGAAAATTAAATAAGGTAGCTTTATCGACTATTAGATTGAATAGTCAAATATTGACAATTTCATACAGTTCAACTTGAGTAAGCAGAATATGCTCTTAATAAACTACAGGTAAATTATCTGCATTAGTATCCCACAGCTGCCATAGCAAACTACTGCAAACCTGGTGGCTTAAAACAGGAGTAAGGCAGACGTCTGAAAACAAGGTGGTGGTAGGGCTGGTTCTATCTGGAGTTCTGAGGGAGAATCCGTACCACCCCACCACCCTGTCTTCTGGTGATTTCCCACAGTCCTTGGCACTTTGGGGCTTGTAGACCAATCACTCCAACCTCTCCATCATCACATGGCCTTTGCCTCTGTGTGTCTCCGTGTGTTTCCTCTCTTCTTGCAAGGACACCTGTCATTGGCTTTAGGGCCCTCCTTGAATTCAGTATATCCTCATCTAGAGAGTCAATTTCCAAACAGGGTAATATTCTGAGATTCTGGGTGAACATAAATTTTAGGAGGGGACACTCTTCAACCCCACTACAGGACCCTCCCGCTCTCTGTTTCAGTGATAGTGGTAGCGCCAGTCTTAAAAACACGGAGTTCCTTTTGACTCATCACTCTTTCATACTTTTCATATTTGGTTGTGCCCAGGACTAGCGATTTCCTTCTTCAAAATGTTTCTCAGCTTTTTGTAACATGGGGCAAGGCTTGTGTTTTAAAGTTAAGCAAACCTAGAGCAGGACATAACAGATCTGAGGCTGAAAAAGGCTTGGTAGGATTACAACTTTGTTAGCAAAAGACACCCTTTCTCTGGGTCAATACATCCCTCCTTTCAGTACCCATTTACTCCCTGTACATGGAATGGCTGTCCCTAATACCTCCCCCTGAGAAAAGGAAGCCTTACACTTTCTAGGCTTCTTTGGGTTCTAGCGCACCAGATGTCACACTGAGGAACACTGCTTCATTCTGTTAACAAGGTGACATAGAATGCTGCCACATTTGAGAGGGTCAAGAGTAAAACAGGGCTCGTCAGCAGGTATAGAGTGCAGTGCTCTGCTACTTGGGCCATATGACCTGGCAAACATCATGACTATAGAGAAATCAGTGATGAAAAAGAGGCATAAGGGAGAGTTTAGGACAAGCCCAAGTGGGAGAATGTCAGTGCTGACTCCAGGGTTCTGACATAGTACCATTCCATCTGCAATGGACAACTACATACACACCTTTTGAACAGCAGCTCTCAGCATGTTATCGAGCCATGGTAGGGAGCTGGAATGACTGAGCGTGGAACACTAAAGTGATTCTGCATCTCAAAGTGTACAACATGAGCTGGAGCCTACGGAACCTGCCGAACTTAAAGCCATGAGGCTCAGCAGCCACCCGTCATAAAACGGTAATATGCATCCAAGCTTGAGGCTCAGCAGGGCCAGAGGGTACAGCAAAGCTGCACAAGCAGGGAGCCCAGACCCCACGTTAACCTTCGCAGTTTCACCAGCATCCGGCTCCCAGCCCATGCCTCCGGTTGTATCGGGGAAGAGAGAGGGAGCCCTGTATGATCAAGAGAAAGAAGAGGAAAATGCCCAGGCTTAGTGTACAGATGAATTGGTTCAGCAAGTAAAAGCCACAAATTGAATGGCAGCTGTGTTACATTCCCACTCAAGAATGACCTTGAGAGACAAGTGCAAAGGAAAAGTCTCCTCAATGGGTATAGCAGTACCCGAGTGGTTACTTGGTCATATTCACTATGCATGAAAGAAGAAGCAGCCAGAGATGGAATGTATATATAGACTCAGAGTAAAAAGTGGCTTGTCTGGATAGCTAGAGACCCAAAAGAAAAAAGATTGAAAGCTTGGAATTTAATCTTCAAAGCAAGGAATTCTGAGGTAGAGAGATGAGATAAGTATATGGAGTTGCATGTGAAGTATGTAGATAAC